TCTTGCAGAAGGGCACTGATGGCATTGTATGTGGAAATGTTTTCACATTGGATTCTGATCCCGTTGTCTTGTGCTACCTTGGTAGTGTAGCTGCCAACGCCAGGTAGCTTGTTTATTGTATCTAGTAGTGGCTGGATTTCGGTAACATTTGGGAGGAAGAGGGATGGAATTTTTGAGCTTTGCGGCAGGTTGGGCTGAATATCTTCTTGAGGGTGGTCTAGCAGTTGAGTATGCTGGGTATTTGTGTGGACGAGTATATTGTTTGAGTCATCTAGTTTTTGTCTGCCCGTGTCTGGACTGTCATTTGGGTTAGTGTGTGTCTCAAAGTCCATGAGTTCATTGCAGTCATTTGCTGCATGAATTGCAGTTTTGATGATAACTTTAGCAAAGTCTTGTAGTTTTACAATAGGGTTTGTGATATTATTATTATTAAATAATTTATCAGTTGGAGAGTGTATGGGGCGTTTGGGGTTACGTTGCTGCAGGCTCATTGAAATTTTTCGTTTGAGGCTTTTTGAGTTTGTGTGTTTAGTGATCACTGTGTTTTTTAATTTATGGATGTAACAGGGATCTTTTAGTATTGGTGTGGTTGGTGGATCAGAATAGGTTATATTAAGTTGTTGGTTGATGACTGGAGGCTGCTCAGAGCTTGGCGTTAGTGTTGCTATTTTATTGATTGTGTTATTTGGCGGCAAAATTGGCGCCAAATTTTCTTTTGCATTTGCAATGGAGTCGTTTGACAGCAATTTTGGCATTATACGTTGCTGTGGTTGTTGTAATGCTGTCATTTTTTGGCAGGAAAGATGGCGACTTGGCGCGGTGTACATACTTTGATGGCTGTGACGTCATGGTTTTTGACAGTAGTAATGGCGGTAAAATTTGCGTGGGCGTCACTTTTGGCGCGCTACTTGGCGTCGGAGTTCGGGCTTCCTGTATGGATGCAGTAGTTTCTGGTTCATTTGGCGGGAGGAGCGGGGGTTGACTGTCGTCTGCTGGTTTATGGAACGTGATGTTTGATGGCTGTGGATCGCTGGAAACGTGTTGGCTATCGCTAGCACCCCCATGGATGATGGAAGAGGAACCTGTTAGAGAGGAGTTGTCCCAAGTCGAGACAGAGGGGGAGCAGTCTGTGCCAGGACGAGACAGGCTTCCATCCAGTGATGAGTCCCCTGTTTGATGATCAATAGACGAATTACAAGTGGCGTGCGACGCCATTTTCCTTTTTTTTTTTTTTTTTTTTTCCTTTTTTTTTTTCACTCTTTCAGTTGCTTTAAATTGATTTAACTTTTTAAAGTTGTTTTTTTTTTTTTTAAGTTTATTTAAATTTTTTTAATTAAAGTTTTTTTTTTTTTTTTTTTTTTTTTTTTTTTTTAAAGTTTTTTTTTTTTTTTTTTTTTTTTTTTTTAAGTTTTTTTTTTTAAGTTTTATTTTTAAGTTTTTTTAAAGTTTGTGCACATCTGTACACTATGGGGGTTTGCTAGCGTCTAATGTTAGCCGCAGCTCGCCTTCTTTATTTGCTTCATTACTATTTGAGCAACATATGCAAATGTTATAGACTTAAGACTAGGTGGCAACATTGCCTATTATCTTAATGTTATTTGATTAATAGGGCAGGGTGGCAACCTTGCCTGTTAACAGAGTTATTTCATAAGAATATGGCAACTTTCTTCTTTGTTTACAAAACAATGAATGGGAAAATATGATGATATAAATGATATAAAATATGATGATATGAATTAATGAAGAGTGGTTTCCAATGGTGATAACTTTGATGATTTGGAGTTTCAAGTCCGGGCTGGGGGTGTGATTGTGTTAAAGATGGCTGATGAGTACATATGTGGATGATAGACGAAGTTGTGGTGGCAAGTAACCAGGTTGGCAGTAGAGTTATGCAGTGTTAATTGATGTGTGAAGTGTGTGCTGATTAAAGCGTGTTGAAGATGAGGTGTATATATAGGAGATAGCTGAGTTGTAGTATGACATAAAATCCATGGATCCAGAAGTGTTAGCGAGTGATAGCTTGATGAGGATGTACTTGCTGCAACAGGCATAGAGCAACACATTAATGCGGCAGTACATTTTAGCCAGAAGGTGCACTGACTAGCTGTGTAGGCAGGGATGCTGGCACACAATAAATTGTGGTTGCATATGCCTGAGCACAGTCAGGACAATCTAGCCCAAATGCAAGCCACTCAATCCAGTTGTAGGAGATGCATGAGATGCATCTGTGTAGATAGCAGGTGTCTGAGTTGGTAATGAAGTTGGTGTAGTAGCTGTTATGTGTGTGTGTTGCTTGCGACGTATTGATGTTGCGAAAAACACACTACAGCCTGCGAGATGCGTGTGTGAGTGATGATTGAGTTGTAGTCGGCAAGTCCAAGAACAGTGAAGCAGTTGGTGTTAACAGAAGGTGATGTCTATGTCCTATTATGCGTTTTTCAGCTGGCTATTGGGCAGAGATTACAAACAGCAACGCGCGCCCACAAGAAGGTACCCGGAGGGCTGTATGGACAGAGATGCTGGTACCCAATAGATTGGGGTAGCATATGACCCAGCACAGCCAGGACAATCCAGTTCGCGCGCGCGCCTATTCACTCAAACCCTAGTTGATCACGAAGTGCTGCTGCGGCCAGAGAAGTTGATGTCTAGCCGTTTGTGGGAAGGAGAAGTGTCCAACGATGGCAAGTACTGTGCATGTGTGCTGAATTAGGTATGTTGCTGCGAAGAACGGGGCACAGCTGGTGATGCGCCGCAAAACAGTAGCGAACACAACCATCGGGCACGCGCACAGGTAGGCTGTTTATAAAGGTTGTTGTTCCGCAGTCAAGTGCGGCAGGAGGTGTGGTGAGCTCTTACATGGTCATCCGCAGGTATGTATTTCTACCAGGTAAGGCTGTGTTTGCAAGCGAGATTGTGCCCATGCATGGACGCATGTTACAGTTGAGTGTGATGTAAGTATTGGCCATACATGAATTTATCTATAGATGTTAATCCTCTTTGGTCAACACAGTGTGCTTATTTGGCTGTTGTTAAGAGCCGGCAAATTTGCGTATTACAGGTAGGTTGGTCCCTGTAATATAGAGCAATTAATAATTTGTTTACGGACGCAGATTCTTACCGCTGTCGTCGTGCTGGATATTGTATAAGAAATTAAGTTGCTTAAACCAAGATTGCTGGACCAAGATTATTGCAACTAGCCATTTGATGTTTATAGCGGTGCTGAGGACGTCTGCATGATGTAGGTATAATGGAATTTGAAAGTGTTGGTTGCGTGTGCTTGAGTGTAGCATGAATTGTGTTGGGTGTGAAGCTGCTTTGCTCAAGCTGGGCTCTTCCATGGTCGTCCACAAGTATGTGTTCCTGGCAGATAGGGCTGAGTTTGCAAGTGAGTTTGTGCCTATCATTGTGGAACAGGTAATGGACGCGTATTTCAGTTGAGTGTGATGTGAGAATTGGCCATGAATGAAGTTGTATATTGATGTTAATCCTCTTTAGTCAGCACAGTGTACTTGTTTGATTGCTGTTTTGAGCCAGCAAGATTTGCATATTACAGGTGTGTTGGTTCCTGTAATATAGAGCAATTAATAATTTGTTTGCGGGCGTAGATTCTTACCGCTGTTTGCAGTTTCATTGTACTGGATATTGTATGCAAGAAAAGGTTGCTGATCCGTGGTTACTAGGCCAGGATTACTGCAGCTGGCCATTTAATGCTTAGAGCGGTGGCTGTGACGTGTAGCATGAATTGTGTTGGGTGTGGAACTGATATGCTAAGACAAGAATCGGTGCCCATGTAATCGCCTTATGAAGTGAGTGTGTATTATGCGGGTGCGTGGGGCATAATTATTGTTTAGAGTTGGATTTGTGTAATGGATAATACATAGGTGGCGAGTTTATTTAAATTAAGTTATCATAGTACTTTTAAAGAAATTGTTTAAAATAAACTGGAGTAATAAAGATATAATATGATGTCTGTTGTTATTATTTTAATGATGTAGCTTATGATTAAAGTTAGTGTATTCGAGATAAATCATTTGTTTGGTAGTTCAAAATAAAATATTAATAACAAATCGTATGGCTTTTATTTGAATACAAAATGTAAATTGTTGAGCAAAATTAAAATGAGGTATTTCTATTCAAGATGTGAATCAAGTTAGTGTATTCAAGGTAACAAGATGTTTTTTTTTTTTTTTTTTTTCTATATTCGAGTGAAATTATTTTATAATTTCAAGTTAATCACTGTTTTAAGTATTACATTTAGAAGAAATTAAAATAAGATATTCATTAAAGATCGTTATGTCATTCGTTTCGATACAATATGTATTGTAATAATTGAAGTAACAGAATGTTCGATGTGAGTTGTTGAATAGCGTTATGAGTCAATGTAAAGTTGTCTTTTAAGATATTATTTTGTATGTATTTTTTTTTTATACATATATATGTAAGTATAACTAGCAGGTCGCGTAACTTTCATTTGAGTACAAAGTGTGATTTGTTGACAAAATTAAAATGAGATATTTAAGTTCAAAAGTATGATTCACGTTAATGATTACGAAATAGTTCGTTTTTCATATTCGAGTGAAGTTAATTTGATAAATTTCAGGTAAACACTGTTTTGAGTATTACAGTTTAAAAGAAATTAAAATAGAATATTCGTTAAAGATCGTTATGGCATACATTTCGATACAAAATGTGTTGTAATAATGGAATTAACAGAACGTTTGAATAGTGTCATAGATTAATATAAAGTTGTCTTTTCAGATATTTGTGTATATAATATTTTTAATTCTTTTTTTTTTTTTTTTTTTTTTTTTTTTTTTGTGTATATATATATTATTTTAAATAATTTTATTTATGTTTTTTTTTTTTTTTTTTTTTTTTTTTTTTTTTTTTTATATATATTTATATTATATAAATATATTTATATATTATTATTATTATTTTTTTTTTTTTTTTTTATTATTATTATTATTATTTTTTTTTTTTTTTTTTTTTTTTTTTTATAATTAGTTTGGTTTGGGAGTTGGGATACAAAGGGAGTACAGTGCATTTAGTAGATTGTCAATCTTGCTGCTCATTTCGTTTGCAGTCCGTACGTTGCTCTCCAGTGCTCGTATGAGAGGCTGGTCTCCCATGTGCTGTTGCTGCTGATTTTGGTGGCGTTGAAGTTCCTCGTTTTGTTGTTTTTGGTGCTGCTCGGCCAATAATTTGTTTTTAAAGTTGTTTAGATGCCTTTCAGCAGGATTGCGAAGCATTGTGGGTTTAACCTTGGCAGTGTCAGCTAAGTTGATATTTAGTTGTGTTGGGTGGATGTTGTGTTGTGCTGTATACTGTGGTTTAGTTGTTTTGTTGATGGTATATTGTTGCAGCGGCTGGATTTGTGGCTGTGGCGTTTGTTGATTTACTTTAAAATTAGGTGGTAAATTAGGGTAAATTAGGTGAATCTAGTGGTACTTGCTGTGGTGAGGGCTGTGACTGTATGTGTTGTCTATTATCGGGTTCACGGAGTGCTATCAGTTTATTCTGTGCACTCTTGAAAGCCGGGCAGCCCTTGTAGCTAGCAACATGTTTGCCACCACAATTCGCACATTTGGCATCTGCGTCTATTGTTTTGGCGCACGTAGTGGTAGCGTGGGGTCCTGCACATTTTAGACATACAAAGGGTCTACGACAGTAGTTTTTGCTGTGTCCAAATGATTGACAGCCCTTGTAGCTAGCAACATGTTTGCCACCACAATTCGCACATTTGGCATCTGCGTCTATTGTTTTGGCGCACGTAGTGGTAGCGTGGGGTCCTGCACATTTTAGACATACAAAGGGTCTACGACAGTAGTTTTTGCTGTGTCCAAATGATTGACAGCGATGACACTGTAGTGGATCAATGCGTCTGAGTTGTTTTTCAACGGCAATATTTTGATGTCCTAGTTCAGTTAATGTAAGTATTTTTTCATGTCCACCATCCAATCGAGGCTCCAGTTCAACTTCAAAAATGTTCATTGGCTCGTTTCTGGTTCTGTGTTTGATAACACTTACATGTCGAGTTACGTAACCAAGTTCTTTGAGCTGGTCGCGGATCCAGTCATATGGTGTGGAGTAATGGAGATGGCGTATTATTATGCGGTATCCGCGATCTTTGCGTAGCTGGTAGGTATGATTGTGAATTTGTTTGTCTTGCAGAAGGGCACTGATGGCATTGTATGTGGAAATGTTTTCACATTGGATTCTGATCCCGTTGTCTTGTGCTACCTTGGTAGTGTAGCTGCCAACGCCAGGTAGCTTGTTTATTGTATCTAGTAGTGGCTGGATTTCGGTAACATTTGGGAGGAAGAGGGATGGAATTTTTGAGCTTTGCGGCAGGTTGGGCTGAATATCTTCTTGAGGGTGGTCTAGCAGTTGAGTATGCTGGGTATTTGTGTGGACGAGTATATTGTTTGAGTCATCTAGTTTTTGTCTGCCCGTGTCTGGACTGTCATTTGGGTTAGTGTGTGTCTCAAAGTCCATGAGTTCATTGCAGTCATTTGCTGCATGAATTGCAGTTTTGATGATAACTTTAGCAAAGTCTTGTAGTTTTACAATAGGGTTTGTGATATTATTATTATTAAATAATTTATCAGTTGGAGAGTGTATGGGGCGTTTGGGGTTACGTTGCTGCAGGCTCATTGAAATTTTTCGTTTGAGGCTTTTTGAGTTTGTGTGTTTAGTGATCACTGTGTTTTTTAATTTATGGATGTAACAGGGATCTTTTAGTATTGGTGTGGTTGGTGGATCAGAATAGGTTATATTAAGTTGTTGGTTGATGACTGGAGGCTGCTCAGAGCTTGGCGTTAGTGTTGCTATTTTATTGATTGTGTTATTTGGCGGCAAAATTGGCGCCAAATTTTCTTTTGCATTTGCAATGGAGTCGTTTGACAGCAATTTTGGCATTATACGTTGCTGTGGTTGTTGTAATGCTGTCATTTTTGGCAGGAAAGATGGCGACTTGGCGCGGTGTACATACTTTGATGGCTGTGACGTCATGGTTTTTGACAGTAGTAATGGCGGTAAAATTTGCGTGGGCGTCACTTTTGGCGCGCTACTTGGCGTCGGAGTTCGGGCTTCCTGTATGGATGCAGTAGTTTCTGGTTCATTTGGCGGGAGGAGCGGGGGTTGACTGTCGTCTGCTGGTTTATGGAACGTGATGTTTGATGGCTGTGGATCGCTGGAAACGTGTTGGCTATCGCTAGCACCCCCATGGATGATGGAAGAGGAACCTGTTAGAGAGGAGTTGTCCCAAGTCGAGACAGAGGGGGAGCAGTCTGTGCCAGGACGAGACAGGCTTCCATCCAGTGATGAGTCCCCTGTTTGATGATCAATAGACGAATTACAAGTGGCGTGCGACGCCATTTTCCTTTTTTTTTTTTTTTTTTTTTTTTTTTTTTTTCACTCTTTCAGTTGCTTTAAATTGATTTATTTTAAAGTTGTTTTTTTTTAAAGTTTATTTAAATTTTTTTAATTAAAGTTTTTTAAAGTTTTTTTTTTTTTTAAAGTGTTTTTAAAGTTTTTAAAGTTTTTTTTAAGTTTTAAAGTTTTTTTTTAAAGTTTGTGCACATCTGTACACTATGGGGGTTTGCTAGCGTCTAATGTTAGCCGCAGCTCGCCTTCTTTATTTGCTTCATTACTATTTGAGCAACATATGCAAATGTTATAGACTTAAGACTAGGTGGCAACATTGTCTATTATCTTAATGTTATTTGATTAATAGGGCAGGGTGGCAACCTTGCCTGTTAACAGAGTTATTTCATAAGAATATGACAACTTTCTTCTTTGTTTACAAAACAATGAATGGGAAAATATGATGATATAAATGATATAAAATATGATGATATGAATTAATGAAGAGTGGTTTCCAATGATGATAACTTTGATGATTTGGAGTTTCAAGTCCGGGCTGGGGGTGTGATTGTGTTAAAGATGGCTGATGAGTACATATGTGGATGATAGACGAAGTTGTGGTGGCAAGTAACCAGGTTGGCAGTAGAGTTATGCAGTGTTAATTGATGTGTGAAGTGTGTGCTGATTAAAGCGTGTTGAAGATGAGGTGTATATATAGGAGATAGCTGAGTTGTAGTATGACATAAAATCCATGGATCCAGAAGTGTTAGCGAGTGATAGCTTGATGAGGATGTACTTGCTGCAACAGGCATAGAGCAACACATTAATGCGGCAGTACATTTTAGCCAGAAGGTGCACTGACTAGCTGTGTAGGCAGGGATGCTGGCACACAATAAATTGTGGTTGCATATGCCTGAGCACAGTCAGGACAATCTAGCCCAAATGCAAGCCACTCAATCCAGTTGTAGGAGATGCATGAGATGCATCTGTGTAGATAGCGGTGTCTGAGTTGGTGGTGAAGTTGGTGTAGTAGCTGTTATGTGTGTGTGTTGCTTGCGACGTATTGATGTTGCGAAAAACACACTACAGCCTGCGAGATGCGTGTGTGAGTGATGATTGAGTTGTAGTCGGCAAGTCCAAGAACAGTGAAGCAGTTGGTGTTAACAGAAGGTGATGTCTATGTTCTATTATGCGTTTTTCAGCTGGCTATTGGGCAGAGATTACAAACAGCAACGCGCGCCCACAAGAAGGTACCCGGAGGGCTGTATGGACAGAGATGCTGGTACCCAATAGATTGGGGTAGCATATGACCCAGCACAGCCAGGACAATCCAGTTCGCGCGCGCGCCTATTCACTCAAACCCTAGTTGATCACGAAGTGCTGCTGCGACCAGAGAAGTTGATGTCTAGCCGTTTGTGGGAAGGAGAAGTGTCCAACGATGGCAAGTACTGTGCATGTGTGCTGAATTAGGTATGTTGCTGCGAAGAACGGGGCACAGCTGGTGATGCGCCGCAAAACAGTAGCGAACACAACCATCGGGCACGCGCACAGGTAGGCTGTTTATAAAGGTTGTTGTTCCGCAGTCAAGTGCGGCAGGAGGTGTGGTGAGCTCTTACATGGTCATCCGCAGGTATGTATTTCTACCAGGTAAGGCTGTGTTTGCAAGCGAGATTGTGCCCATGCATGGACGCATGTTACAGTTGAGTGTGATGTAAGTATTGGCCATACATGAATTTATCTATAGATGTTAATCCTCTTTGGTCAACACAGTGTGCTTATTTGGCTGTTGTTAAGAGCCGGCAAATTTGCGTATTACAGGTAGGTTGGTCCCTGTAATATAGAGCAATTAATAATTTGTTTACGGACGCAGATTCTTACCGCTGTCGTCGTGCTGGATATTGTATAAGAAATTAAGTTGCTTAAACCAAGATTGCTGGACCAAGATTATTGCAACTAGCCATTTGATGTTTATAGCGGTGCTGAGGACGTCTGCATGATGTAGGTATAATGGAATTTGAAAGTGTTGGTTGCGTGTGCTTGAGTGTAGCATGAATTGTGTTGGGTGTGAAGCTGCTTTGCTCAAGCTGGGCTCTTCCATGGTCGTCCACAAGTATGTGTTCCTGGCAGATAGGGCTGAGTTTGCAAGTGAGTTTGTGCCTATCATTGTGGAACAGGTAATGGACGCGTATTTCAGTTGAGTGTGATGTGAGAATTGGCCATGAATGAAGTTGTATATTGATGTTAATCCTCTTTAGTCAGCACAGTGTACTTGTTTGATTGCTGTTTTGAGCCAGCAAGATTTGCATATTACAGGTGTGTTGGTTCCTGTAATATAGAGCAATTAATAATTTGTTTGCGGGCGTAGATTCTTACCGCTGTTTGCAGTTTCATTGTACTGGATATTGTATGCAAGAAAAGGTTGCTGATCCGTGGTTACTAGGCCAGGATTACTGCAGCTGGCCATTTAATGCTTAGAGCGGTGGCTGTGACGTGTAGCATGAATTGTGTTGGGTGTGGAACTGATATGCTAAGACAAGAATCGGTGCCCATGTAATCGCCTTATGAAGTGAGTGTGTATTATGCGGGTGCGTGGGGCATAATTATTGTTTAGAGTTGGATTTGTGTAATGGATAATACATAGGTGGCGAGTTTATTTAAATTAAGTTATCATAGTACTTTTAAAGAAATTGTTTAAAATAAACTGGAGTAATAAAGATATAATATGATGTCTGTTGTTATTATTTTAATGATGTAGCTTATGATTAAAGTTAGTGTATTCGAGATAAATCATTTGTTTGGTAGTTCAAAATAAAATATTAATAACAAATCGTATGGCTTTTATTTGAATACAAAATGTAAATTGTTGAGCAAAATTAAAATGAGGTATTTCTATTCAAGATGTGAATCAAGTTAGTGTATTCAAGGTAACAAGATGTTTTTTTTTTTTTTTTTTTTTTATATTCGAGTGAAATTATTTTATAATTTCAAGTTAATCACTGTTTTAAGTATTACAGTTTAGAAGAAATTAAAATAAGATATTCATTAAAGATCGTTATGTCATTCGTTTCGATACAATATGTATTGTAATAATTGAAGTAACAGAATGTTCGATGTGAGTTGTTGAATAGCGTTATGAGTCAATGTAAAGTTGTCTAACTAGCAGGTCGCGTAACTTTCATTTGAGTACAAAGTGTGATTTGTTGACAAAATTAAAATGAGATATTTAAGTTCAAAAGTATGATTCACGTTAATGATTACGAAATAGTTCGTTTTTCATATTCGAGTGAAGTTAATTTGATAAATTTCAGGTAAACACTGTTTTGAGTATTACAGTTTAAAAGAAATTAAAATAGAATATTCGTTAAAGATCGTTATGGCATACATTTCGATACAAAATGTGTTGTAATAATGGAATTAACAGAACGTTTGAATAGTGTCATAGATTAATATAAAGTTGTCTTTTCAGATATTTGTGTATATAATATTTTTAATTCTTTTTTTTTTTTTTTTTTTTTTTTTTTTTTGTGTATATATATATTATTTTAAATAATTTTATTTATTTTTTTTTTTTTTTTTTTTTTTTTTTTTTTTTTTTTTATATATTTATATTATATAAATATATTTATATATTATTATTATTATTTTTTTTTTTTTTTTTTTATTATTATTATTATTTTTTTTTTTTTTTTTTTTTTTTTTTTTTTATAATTAGTTTGGTTTGGGAGTTGGGATACAAAGGGAGTACAGTGCATTTAGTAGATTGTCAATCTTGCTGCTCATTTCGTTTGCAGTCCGTACGTTGCTCTCCAGTGCTCGTATGAGAGGCTGGTCTCCCATGTGCTGTTGCTGCTGATTTTGGTGGCGTTGAAGTTCCTCGTTTTGTTGTTTTTGGTGCTGCTCGGCCAATAATTTGTTTTTAAAGTTGTTTAGATGCCTTTCAGCAGGATTGCGAAGCATTGTGGGTTTAACCTTGGCAGTGTCAGCTAAGTTGATATTTAGTTGTGTTGGGTGGATGTTGTGTTGTGCTGTATACTGTGGTTTAGTTGTTTTGTTGATGGTATATTGTTGCAGCGGCTGGATTTGTGGCTGTGGCGTTTGTTGATTTACTTTAAAATTAGGTGGTAAATTAGGGGGTAAATTAGGTGAATCTAGTGGTACTTGCTGTGGTGAGGGCTGTGACTGTATGTGTTGTCTATTATCGGGTTCACGGAGTGCTATCAGTTTATTCTGTGCACTCTTGAAAGCCGGGCAGCCCTTGTAGCTAGCAACATGTTTGCCACCACAATTCGCACATTTGGCATCTGCGTCTATTGTTTTGGCGCACGTAGTGGTAGCGTGGGGTCCTGCACATTTTAGGCATACAAAGGGTCTACGACAGTAGTTTTTGCTGTGTCCAAATGATTGACAGCGATGACACTGTAGTGGATCAATGCGTCTGAGTTGTTTTTCAACGGCAATATTTTGATGTCCTAGTTCAGTTAATGTAAGTATTTTTTCATGTCCACCATCCAATCGAGGCTCCAGTTCAACTTCAAAAATGTTCATTGGCTCGTTTCTGGTTCTGTGTTTGATAACACTTACATGTCGAGTTACGTAACCAAGTTCTTTGAGCTGGTCGCGGATCCAGTCATATGGTGTGGAGTAATGGAGATGGCGTATTATTATGCGGTATCCGCGATCTTTGCGTAGCTGGTAGGTATGATTGTGAATTTGTTTGTCTTGCAGAAGGGCACTGATGGCATTGTATGTGGAAATGTTTTCACATTGGATTCTGATCCCGTTGTCTTGTGCTACCTTGGTAGTGTAGCTGCCAACGCCAGGTAGCTTGTTTATTGTATCTAGTAGTGGCTGGATTTCGGTAACATTTGGGAGGAAGAGGGATGGAATTTTTGAGCTTTGCGGCAGGTTGGGCTGAATATCTTCTTGAGGGTGGTCTAGCAGTTGAGTATGCTGGGTATTTGTGTGGACGAGTATATTGTTTGAGTCATCTAGTTTTTGTCTGCCCGTGTCTGGACTGTCATTTGGGTTAGTGTGTGTCTCAAAGTCCATGAGTTCATTGCAGTCATTTGCTGCATGAATTGCAGTTTTGATGATAACTTTAGCAAAGTCTTGTAGTTTTACAATAGGGTTTGTGATATTATTATTATTAAATAATTTATCAGTTGGAGAGTGTATGGGGCGTTTGGGGTTACGTTGCTGCAGGCTCATTGAAATTTTTCGTTTGAGGCTTTTTGAGTTTGTGTGTTTAGTGATCACTGTGTTTTTTAATTTATGGATGTAACAGGGATCTTTTAGTATTGGTGTGGTTGGTGGATCAGAATAGGTTATATTAAGTTGTTGGTTGATGACTGGAGGCTGCTCAGAGCTTGGCGTTAGTGTTGCTATTTTATTGATTGTGTTATTTGGCGGCAAAATTGGCGCCAAATTTTCTTTTGCATTTGCAATGGAGTCGTTTGACAGCAATTTTGGCATTATACGTTGCTGTGGTTGTTGTAATGCTGTCATTTTTGGCAGGAAAGATGGCGACTTGGCGCGGTGTACATACTTTGATGGCTGTGACGTCATGGTTTTTGACAGTAGTAATGGCGGTAAAATTTGCGTGGGCGTCACTTTTGGCGCGCTACTTGGCGTCGGAGTTCGGGCTTCCTGTATGGATGCAGTAGTTTCTGGTTCATTTGGCGGGAGGAGCGGGGGTTGACTGTCGTCTGCTGGTTTATGGAACGTGATGTTTGATGGCTGTGGATCGCTGGAAACGTGTTGGCTATCGCTAGCACCCCCATGGATGATGGAAGAGGAACCTGTTAGAGAGGAGTTGTCCCAAGTCGAGACAGAGGGGGAGCAGTCTGTGCCAGGACGAGACAGGCTTCCATCCAGTGATGAGTCCCCTGTTTGATGATCAATAGACGAATTACAAGTGGCGTGCGACGCCATTTTCCTTTTTTTTTTTTTTTTTTCTTTTTTTTTTTCACTCTTTCAGTTGCTTTAAATTGATTTATTTTAAAGTTTTTTTTTTTTTAAAGTTTATTTAAATTTTTTTAATTAAAGTTTTTTAAAGTTTTTTTTTTTTTTTTTAAAGTGTTTTTAATTTTAAAGTTTTTTTAAAGTTTTTTAAAGTTTTTTTTTAAGTTTTTAAAGTTTTTTAAGTTTTTTTAAGTTGTGTGCACTCTTGTACACAATGGGGGTTTGCTGGCGACTAATGTTAGCCGCAGCTCGCCTTCTTTATTTGCGTCATTACTATTAAGCAACATATGCAAATGTTATAAACCTAAGACTAGGTGGCAACATTGCCTATTATCTTAACATTGTTTGAAATTATTAGGGCAGAGTGGCAACCTTGCCTGTTAACTTTACAGAATTATGTCTAGAGACGATATGGCAACATTTTTGTTTACAAAGCAATGATTTGGCAAAATATGATTAATTTATATTAATTTAACGAGGAGTGGTTTCCGATGATGCGTGGGTGATAAGTTTTTGATGATCTGGAGTTTCAAGTCCGGGCTGGCGGTGTGAATGTGTTCGAGATGGCTGGAGAGTGAATTGTTACATGTATGGTTGTGTCTTATGGACGATGTGGCAACATTAGTGTTTACAAACAATAAGTTTAAATAAAGTAGAATGAAAATTTGATTGTGATGAATTAATGATGTGATGACTGGGTTGTCATCTTGAGATCCCTTGAGTCCGTGTGGTATCTGCGTTGATGTTTAGTTGCAATGTACGCGAAGCAGTTGGCATATGGCAGAACTTCAACCGAAGAGGCACGATCACCAGAAAGTGCACTGGCAGGCTTTGGAGGCAGGGATGCTAGCTACAATGGATTGTGATTACATGTGCGCTCAGCACTGTCAGGACAATCCGGCAGTAAGATACGCGCCAGTCCATTCTCAGCTCTAATATGCACATGGGTTGCTGTTGCAAAAAAGTAGTTGCTGTGTTGAAGTTAGTGGGCTCAGTTTTCCGAGTTGTTGTTGATGTGTTGACTTGTTGTGCGTGTGTGCTGATTAAAGCGTGTTGTTGTTGCAAAAATAAAATAGAAACTTGATCATAGTAAATTAATGACGTATTAACTGGGTTGTTATCTGGAGATTCCGGGGTCCGAGTTTACTGCGTTGTTCTGCGTGTGGTATCTGCGTTGGTGTTAAGTTGTAGCGTGTGCAGTGCAATTGGCATAAGGCAGGGCTTCATCCGGCGAGGCACGATCTCCAGCAAGTGCACTGGCAGGCTATTTTTTAAAGTTTGTGCACATCTGTACACTATGGGGGTTTGCTAGCGTCTAATGTTAGCCGCAGCTCGCCTTCTTTATTTGCTTCATTACTATTTGAGCAACATATGCAAATGTTATAGACTTAAGACTAGGTGGCAACATTGTCTATTATCTTAATGTTATTTGATTAATAGGGCAGGGTGGCAACCTTGCCTGTTAACAGAGTTATTTCATAAGAATATGACAACTTTCTTCTTTGTTTACAAAACAATGAATGGGAAAATATGATGATATAAATGATATAAAATATGATGATATGAATTAATGAAGAGTGGTTTCCAATGATGATAACTTTGATGATTTGGAGTTTCAAGTCCGGGCTGGGGGGTGTGATTGTGTTAAAGATGGCTGATGAGTACATATGTGGATGATAGACGAAGTTGTGGTGGCAAGTAACCAGGTTGGCAGTAGAGTTATGCAGTGTTAATTGATGTGTGAAGTGTGTGCTGATTAAAGCGTGTTGAAGATGAGGTGTATATATAGGGAGATAGCTGAGTTGTAGTATGACATAAAATCCATGGATCCAGAAGTGTTAGCGAGTGATAGCTTGATGAGGATGTACTTGCTGCAACAGGCATAGAGCAACACATTAATGCGGCAGTACATTTTAGCCAGAAGGTGCACTGACTAGCTGTGTAGGCAGGGATGCTGGCACACAATAAATTGTGGTTGCATATGCCTGAGCACAGTCAGGACAATCTAGCCCAAATGCAAGCCACTCAATCCAGTTGTAGGAGATGCATGAGATGCATCTGTGTAGATAGCGGTGTCTGAGTTGGTGGTGAAGTTGGTGTAGTAGCTGTTATGTGTGTGTGTTGCTTGCGACGTATTGATGTTGCGAAAAACACACTACAGCCTGCGAGATGCGTGTGTGAGTGATGATTGAGTTGTAGTCGGCAAGTCCAAGAACAGTGAAGCAGTTGGTGTTAACAGAAGGTGATGTCTATGTTCTATTATGCGTTTTTCAGCTGGCTATTGGGCAGAGATTACAAACAGCAACGCGCGCCCACAAGAAGGTACCCGGAGGGCTGTATGGACAGAGATGCTGGTACCCAATAGATTGGGGTAGCATATGACCCAGCACAGCCAGGACAATCCAGTTCGCGCGCGCGCCTATTCACTCAAACCCTAGTTGATCACGAAGTGCTGCTGCGACCAGAGAAGTTGATGTCTAGCCGTTTGTGGGAAGGAGAAGTGTCCAACGATGGCAAGTACTGTGCATGTGTGCTGAATTAGGTATGTTGCTGCGAAGAACGGGGCACAGATGGTCATCCGCAGGTATGTATTTCTACCAGGTAAGGCTGTGTTTGCAAGCGAGATTGTGCCCATTCATGGACGCATGTTACAGTTGAGTGTGATGTAAGTATTGGCCATACATGAATTTATCTATAGATGTTAATCCTCTTTGGTCAACACAGTGTGCTTATTTGGCTGTTGTTAAGAGCCGGCAAATTTGCGTATTACAGGTAGGTTGGTCCCTGTAATATAGAGCAATTAATAATTTGTTTACGGACGCAGATTCTTACCGCTGTCGTCGTGCTGGATATTGTATAAGAAATTAAGTTGCTTAAACCAAGATTGCTGGACCAAGATTATTGCAACTAGCCATTTGATGTTTATAGCGGTGCTGAGGACGTCTGCATGATGTAGGTATAATGGAATTTCAAAGTGTTGGTTGCGTGTGCTTGAGTGTAGCATGAATTGTGTTGGGTGTGAAGCTGCTTTGCTCAAGCTGGGCTCTTCCATGGTCGTCCACAAGTATGTGTTCCTGGCAGATAGGGCTGAGTTTGCAAGTGAGTTTGTGCCTATCATTGTGGAACAGGTAATGGACGCGTATTTCAGTTGAGTGTGATGTGAGAATTGGCCATGAATGAAGTTGTATATTGATGTTAATCCTCTTTAGTCAGCACAGTGTACTTGTTTGATTGCTGTTTTGAGCCAGCAAGATTTGCATATTACAGGTGTGTTGGTTCCTGTAATATAGAGCAATTAATAATTTGTTTGCGGGCGTAGATTCTTACCGCTGTTTGCAGTTTCATTGTACTGGATATTGTATGCAAGAAAAGGTTGCTGATCCGTGGTTACTAGGCCAGGATTACTGCAGCTGGCCATTTAATGCTTAGAGCGGTGGCTGTGACGTGTAGCATGAATTGTGTTGGGTGTGGAACTGATATGCTAAGACAAGAATCGGTGCCCATGTAATCGCCTTATGAAGTGAGTGTGTATTATGCGGGTGCGTGGGGCATAATTATTGTTTAGAGTTGGATTTGTGTAATGGATAATACATAGGTGGCGAGTTTATTTAAATTAAGTTATCATAGTACTTTTAAAGAAATTGTTTAAAATAAACTGGAGTAATAAAGATATAATATGATGTCTGTTGTTATTATTTTAATGATGTAGCTTATGATTAAAGTTAGTGTATTCGAGATAAATCATTTGTTTGGTAGTTCAAAATAAAATATTAATAACAAATCGTATGGCTTTTATTTGAATACAAAATGTAAATTGTTGAGCAAAATTAAAATGAGGTATTTCTATTCAAGATGTGAATCAAGTTAGTGTATTCAAGGTAACAAGATGTTTTTTTTTTTTTTTTTTTCTATATTCGAGTGAAATTATTTTATAATTTCAAGTTAATCACTGTTTTAAGTATTACATTTAGAAGAAATTAAAATAAGATATTCATTAAAGATCGTTATGTCATTCGTTTCGATACAATATGTATTGTAATAATTGAAGTAACAGAATGTTCGATGTGAGTTGTTGAATAGCGTTATGAGTCAATGTAAAGTTGTCTTTTAAGATATTATTTTGTATGTATTTTTTTTTTTATACATATATATGTAAGTATAACTAGCAGGTCGCGTAACTTTCATTTGAGTACAAAGTGTGATTTGTTGACAAAATTAAAATGAGATATTTAAGTTCAAAAGTATGATTCACGTTAATGATTACGAAATAGTTCGTTTTTCATATTCGAGTGAAGTTAATTTGATAAATTTCAGGTAAACACTGTTTTGAGTATTACAGTTTAAAAGAAATTAAAATAGAATATTCGTTAAAGATCGTTATGGCATACATTTCGATACAAAATGTGTTGTAATAATGGAATTAACAGAACGTTTGAATAGTGTCATAGATTAATATAAAGTTGTCTTTTCAGATATTTGTGTATATAATATTTTTAATTCTTTTTTTTTTTTTTTTTTTTTTTTTTTTTTGTGTATATATATATTATTTTAAATAATTTTATTTATGTTTTTTTTTTTTTTTTTTTTTTTTTTTTTTCTTTTTTTATATATTTATATTATATAAATATATTTATATATTATTATTATTATTTTTTTTTTTTTTTTATTATTATTATTATTATTTTTTTTTTTTTTTTTTTTTTTTTTTTTATAATTAGTTTGGTTTGGGAGTTGGGATACAAAGGGAGTACAGTGCATTTAGTAGATTGTCAATCTTGCTACTCATTTCGTTTGCAGTCCGTACGTTGCTCTCCAGTGCTCGTATGAGAGGCTGGTCTCCCATGTGCTGTTGCTGCTGATTTTGGTGGCGTTGAAGTTCCTCGTTTTGTTGTTTTTGGTGCTGCTCGGCCAATAATTTGTTTTTAAAGTTGTTTAGATGCCTTTCAGCAGGATTGCGAAGCATTGTGGGTTTAACCTTGGCAGTGTCAGCTAAGTTGATATTTAGTTGTGTTGGGTGGATGTTGTGTTGTGCTGTATACTGTGGTTTAGTTGTTTTGTTGATGGTATATTGTTGCAGCGGCTGGATTTGTGGCTGTGGCGTTTGTTGATTTACTTGTGGGGGGGGTAAATTAGGTGAATCTAGTGGTACTTGCTGTGGTGAGGGCTGTGACTGTATGTGTTGTCTATTATCGGGTTCACGGAGTGCTATCAGTTTATTCTGTGCACTCTTGAAAGCCGGGCAGCCCTTAGTGAAATTCGCAATTGAACATGTTTGCCACCACAATTCGCACATTTATCTGGCATCTGCGTCTATTGTTTTGGCGCACGTAGTGGTAGCGTGGGGTCCTGCACATTTTAGGCATACAAAGGGTCTACGACAGTAGTTTTTGCTGTGTCCAAATGATTGACAGCGATGACACTGTAGTGGATCAATGCGTCTGAGTTGTTTTTCAACGGCAATATTTTGATGTCCTAGTTCAGTTAATGTAAGTATTTTTTCATGTCCACCATCCAATCGAGGCTCCAGTTCAACTTCAAAAATGTTCATTGGCTCGTTTCTGGTTCTGTGTTTGATAACACTTACATGTCGAGTTACGTAACCAAGTTCTTTGAGCTGGTCGCGGATCCAGTCATATGGTGTGGAGTAATGGAGATGGCGTATTATTATGCGGTATCCGCGATCTTTGCGTAGCTGGTAGGTATGATTGTGAATTTGTTTGTCTTGCAGAAGGGCACTGATGGCATTGTATGTGGAAATGTTTTCACATTGGATTCTGATCCCGTTGTCTTGTGCTACCTTGGTAGTGTAGCTGCCAACGCCAGGTAGCTTGTTTATTGTATCTAGTAGTGGCTGGATTTCGGTAACATTTGGGAGGAAGAGGGATGGAATTTTTGAGCTTTGCGGCAGGTTGGGCTGAATATCTTCTTGAGGGTGGTCTAGCAGTTGAGTATGCTGGGTATTTGTGTGGACGAGTATATTGTTTGAGTCATCTAGTTTTTGTCTGCCCGTGTCTGGACTGTCATTTGGGTTAGTGTGTGTCTCAAAGTCCATGAGTTCATTGCAGTCATTTGCTGCATGAATTGCAGTTTTGATGATAACTTTAGCAAAGTCTTGTAGTTTTACAATAGGGTTTGTGATATTATTATTATTAAATAATTTATCAGTTGGAGAGTGTATGGGGCGTTTGGGGTTACGTTGCTGCAGGCTCATTGAAATTTTTCGTTTGAGGCTTTTTGAGTTTGTGTGTTTAGTGATCACTGTGTTTTTTAATTTATGGATGTAACAGGGATCTTTTAGTATTGGTGTGGTTGGTGGATCAGAATAGGTTATATTAAGTTGTTGGTTGATGACTGGAGGCTGCTCAGAGCTTGGCGTTAGTGTTGCTATTTTATTGATTGTGTTATTTGGCGGCAAAATTGGCGCCAAATTTTCTTTTGCATTTGCAATGGAGTCGTTTTTTTAAAGTTTGTGCACATCTGTACACTATGGGGGTTTGCTAGCGTCTAATGTTAGCCGCAGCTCGCCTTCTTTATTTGCTTCATTACTATTTGAGCAACATATGCAAATGTTATAGACTTAAGACTAGGTGGCAACATTGTCTATTATCTTAATGTTATTTGATTAATAGGGCAGGGTGGCAACCTTGCCTGTTAACAGAGTTATTTCATAAGAATATGACAACTTTCTTCTTTGTTTACAAAACAATGAATGGGAAAATATGATGATATAAATGATATAAAATATGATGATATGAATTAATGAAGAGTGGTTTCCAATGATGATAACTTTGATGATTTGGAGTTTCAAGTCCGGGCTGGGGGTGTGATTGTGTTAAAGATGGCTGATGAGTACATATGTGGATGATAGACGAAGTTGTGGTGGCAAGTAACCAGGTTGGCAGTAGAGTTATGCAGTGTTAATTGATGTGTGAAGTGTGTGCTGATTAAAGCGTGTTGAAGATGAGGTGTATATATAGGAGATAGCTGAGTTGTAGTATGACATAAAATCCATGGATCCAGAAGTGTTAGCGAGTGATAGCTTGATGAGGATGTACTTGCTGCAACAGGCATAGAGCAACACATTAATGCGGCAGTACATTTTAGCCAGAAGGTGCACTGACTAGCTGTGTAGGCAGGGATGCTGGCACACAATAAATTGTGGTTGCATATGCCTGAGCACAGTCAGGACAATCTAGCCCAAATGCAAGCCACTCAATCCAGTTGTAGGAGATGCATGAGATGCATCTGTGTAGATAGCGGTGTCTGAGTTGGTGAGTGAAGTTGGTGTAGTAGCTGTTATGTGTGTGTGTTGCTTGCGACGTATTGATGTTGCGAAAAACACACTACAGCCTGCGAGATGCGTGTGTGAGTGATGATTGAGTTGTAGTCGGCAAGTCCAAGAACAGTGAAGCAGTTGGTGTTAACAGAAGGTGATGTCTATGTTCTATTATGCGTTTTTCAGCTGGCTATTGGGCAGAGATTACAAACAGCAACGCGCGCCCACAAGAAGGTACCCGGAGGGCTGTATGGACAGAGATGCTGGTACCCAATAGATTGGGGTAGCATATGACCCAGCACAGCCAGGACAATCCAGTTCGCGCGCGCGCCTATTCACTCAAACCCTAGTTGATCACGAAGTGCTGCTGCGACCAGAGAAGTTGATGTCTAGCCGTTTGTGGGAAGGAGAAGTGTCCAACGATGGCAAGTACTGTGCATGTGTGCTGAATTAGGTATGTTGCTGCGAAGAACGGGGCACAGCTGGTGATGCGCCGCAAAGCAGTAGCGAACACAACCATCGGGCACGCGCACAGGTAGGCTGTTTATAAAGGTTGTTGTTCCGCAGTCAAGTGCGGCAGGAGGTGTGGTGAGCTCTTACATGGTCATCCGCAGGTATGTATTTCTACCAGGTAAGGCTGTGTTTGCAAGCGAGATTGTGCCCATGCATGGACGCATGTTACAGTTGAGTGTGATGTAAGTATTGGCCATACATGAATTTATCTATAGATGTTAATCCTCTTTGGTCAACACAGTGTGCTTATTTGGCTGTTGTTAAGAGCCGGCAAATTTGCGTATTACAGGTAGGTTGGTCCCTGTAATATAGAGCAATTAATAATTTGTTTACGGACGCAGATTCTTACCGCTGTCGTCGTGCTGGATATTGTATAAGAAATTAAGTTGCTTAAACCAAGATTGCTGGACCAAGATTATTGCAACTAGCCATTTGATGTTTATAGCGGTGCTGAGGACGTCTGCATGATGTAGGTATAATGGAATTTGAAAGTGTTGGTTGCGTGTGCTTGAGTGTAGCATGAATTGTGTTGGGTGTGAAGCTGCTTTGCTCAAGCTGGGCTCTTCCATGGTCGTCCACAAGTATGTGTTCCTGGCAGATAGGGCTGAGTTTGCAAGTGAGTTTGTGCCTATCATTGTGGAACAGGTAATGGACGCGTATTTCAGTTGAGGTGTGATGTGAGAATTGGCCATGAATGAAGTTGTATATTGATGTTAATCCTCTTTAGTCAGCACAGTGTACTTGTTTGATTGCTGTTTTGAGCCAGCAAGATTTGCATATTACAGGTGTGTTGGTTCCTGTAATATAGAGCAATTAATAATTTGTTTGCGGGCGTAGATTCTTACCGCTGTTTGCAGTTTCATTGTACTGGATATTGTATGCAAGAAAAGGTTGCTGATCCGTGGTTACTAGGCCAGGATTACTGCAGCTGGCCATTTAATGCTTAGAGCGGTGGCTGTGACGTGTAGCATGAATTGTGTTGGGTGTGGAACTGATATGCTAAGACAAGAATCGGTGCCCATGTAATCGCCTTATGAAGTGAGTGTGTATTATGCGGGTGCGTGGGGCATAATTATTGTTTAGAGTTGGATTTGTGTAATGGATAATACATAGGTGGCGAGTTTATTTAAATTAAGTTATCATAGTACTTTTAAAGAAATTGTTTAAAATAAACTGGAGTAATAAAGATATAATATGATGTCTGTTGTTATTATTTTAATGATGTAGCTTATGATTAAAGTTAGTGTATTCGAGATAAATCATTTGTTTGGTAGTTCAAAATAAAATATTAATAACAAATCGTATGGCTTTTATTTGAATACAAAATGTAAATTGTTGAGCAAAAATTAAAATGAGGTATTTCTATTCAAGATGTGAATCAAGTTAGTGTATTCAAGGTAACAAGATGTTTTTTTTTTTTTTTTTTTCTATATTCGAGTGAAATTATTTTATAATTTCAAGTTAATCACTGTTTTAAGTATTACATTTAGAAGAAATTAAAATAAGATATTCATTAAAGATCGTTATGTCATTCGTTTCGATACAATATGTATTGTAATAATTGAAGTAACAGAATGTTCGATGTGAGTTGTTGAATAGCGTTATGAGTCAATGTAAAGTTGTCTTTTAAGATATTATTTTGTATGTATTTTTTTTTTATACATATATATGTAAGTATAACTAGCAGGTCGCGTAACTTTCATTTGAGTACAAAGTGTGATTTGTTGACAAAATTAAAATGAGATATTTAAGTTCAAAAGTATGATTCACGTTAATGATTACGAAATAGTTCGTTTTTCATATTCGAGTGAAGTTAATTTGATAAATTTCAGGTAAACACTGTTTTGAGTATTACAGTTTAAAAGAAATTAAAATAGAATATTCGTTAAAGATCGTTATGGCATACATTTCGATACAAAATGTGTTGTAATAATGGAATTAACAGAACGTTTGAATAGTGTCATAGATTAATATAAAGTTGTCTTTTCAGATATTTGTGTATATAATATTTTTAATTTTTTTTTTTTTTTTTTTTTTTTTTTTTTTTTTTGTATATATATATATTATTTTAAATAATTTTATTTATGTTTTTTTTTTTTTTTTTTTTTTTTTTTTTTTTTTTTTTATATATTTATATTATATAAATATATTTATATATTATTATTATTATTTTTTTTTTTTTTTTTAAATTATTATTATTATTTTTTTTTTTTTTTTTTTTTTTTTTTTATAATTAGTTTGGTTTGGGAGTTGGGATACAAAGGGAGTACAGTGCATTTAGTAGATTGTCAATCTTGCTGCTCATTTCGTTTGCAGTCCGTACGTTGCTCTCCAGTGCTCGTATGAGAGGCTGGTCTCCCATGTGCTGTTGCTGCTGATTTTGGTGGCGTTGAAGTTCCTCGTTTTGTTGTTTTTGGTGCTGCTCGGCCAATAATTTGTTTTTAAAGTTGTTTAGATGCCTTTCAGCAGGATTGCGAAGCATTGTGGGTTTAACCTTGGCAGTGTCAGCTAAGTTGATATTTAGTTGTGTTGGGTGGATGTTGTGTTGTGCTGTATACTGTGGTTTAGTTGTTTTGTTGATGGTATATTGTTGCAGCGGCTGGATTTGTGGCTGTGGCGTTTGTTGATTTACCTTAGTGGGGGGTAAATTAGGTGAATCTAGTGGTACTTGCTGTGGTGAGGGCTGTGACTGTATGTGTTGTCTATTATCGGGTTCACGGAGTGCTATCAGTTTATTCTGTGCACTCTTGAAAGCCGGGCAGCCCTTGTAGCTAGCAACATGTTTGCCACCACAATTCGCACATTTGGCATCTGCGTCTATTGTTTTGGCGCACGTAGTGAAGTAGCGTGGGGTCCCAATTCGCACATTTATTATTGTGCATACAAAAAGGGTCTACGACAGTAGTTTTTGCTGTGTCCAAATGATTGACAGCGATGACACTGTAGTGGATCAATGCGTCTGAGTTGTTTTTCAACGGCAATATTTTGATGTCCTAGTTCAGTTAATGTAAGTATTTTTTCATGTCCACCATCCAATCGAGGCTCCAGTTCAACTTCAAAAATGTTCATTGGCTCGTTTCTGGTTCTGTGTTTGATAACACTTACATGTCGAGTTACGTAACCAAGTTCTTTGAGCTGGTCGCGGATCCAGTCATATGGTGTGGAGTAATGGAGATGGCGTATTATTATGCGGTATCCGCGATCTTTGCGTAGCTGGTAGGTATGATTGTGAATTTGTTTGTCTTGCAGAAGGGCACTGATGGCATTGTATGTGGAAATGTTTTCACATTGGATTCTGATCCCGTTGTCTTGTGCTACCTTGGTAGTGTAGCTGCCAACGCCAGGTAGCTTGTTTATTGTATCTAGTAGTGGCTGGATTTCGGTAACATTTGGGAGGAAGAGGGATGGAATTTTTGAGCTTTGCGGCAGGTTGGGCTGAATATCTTCTTGAGGGTGGTCTAGCAGTTGAGTATGCTGGGTATTTGTGTGGACGAGTATATTGTTTGAGTCATCTAGTTTTTGTCTGCCCGTGTCTGGACTGTCATTTGGGTTAGTGTGTGTCTCAAAGTCCATGAGTTCATTGCAGTCATTTGCTGCATGAATTGCAGTTTTGATGATAACTTTAGCAAAGTCTTGTAGTTTTACAATAGGGTTTGTGATATTATTATTATTAAATAATTTATCAGTTGGAGAGTGTATGGGGCGTTTGGGGTTACGTTGCTGCAGGCTCATTGAAATTTTTCGTTTGAGGCTTTTTGAGTTTGTGTGTTTAGTGATCACTGTGTTTTTTAATTTATGGATGTAACAGGGATCTTTTAGTATTGGTGTGGTTGGTGGATCAGAATAGGTTATATTAAGTTGTTGGTTGATGACTGGAGGCTGCTCAGAGCTTGGCGTTAGTGTTGCTATTTTATTGATTGTGTTATTTGGCGGCAAAATTGGCGCCAAATTTTCTTTTGCATTTGCAATGGAGTCGTTTGACAGCAATTTTGGCATTATACGTTGCTGTGGTTGTTGTAATGCTGTCATTTTTGGCAGGAAAGATGGCGACTTGGCGCGGTGTACATACTTTGATGGCTGTGACGTCATGGTTTTTGACAGTAGTAATGGCGGTAAAATTTGCGTGGGCGTCACTTTTGGCGCGCTACTTGGCGTCGGAGTTCGGGCTTCCTGTATGGATGCAGTAGTTTCTGGTTCATTTGGCGGGAGGAGCGGGGGTTGACTGTCGTCTGCTGGTTTATGGAACGTGATGTTTGATGGCTGTGGATCGCTGGAAACGTGTTGGCTATCGCTAGCACCCCCATGGATGATGGAAGAGGAACCTGTTAGAGAGGAGTTGTCCCAAAAAAAAAAAAAAAAAAAAAAGAAAAGAATTATAAAATAAAATTATATTTTTTAATAAAATTATAAAAAAAATAATAAAGGATTAAAATTTTTTTTTTTTTTTTTTTTTTTTTTTTTTTTTTTTTTTTTTTTTTTTTTTTTTTTTTTTTTTTTTTTATTTTTTTTTTTTTTTTTTTTTTTTTTTTTTTTTTTTTAATTTTTTTTTTTTTTATTATTTTTTTTTTTTTTTTTTTTTTTTTTTTTTTTTTTTAATTTTTTTTTTTTTTTTTTTTTTTATAAATTTTTTAAGTTGTGTGCACTCTTGTACACGATGGGGGTTCGCTGGCGACTAATGTTAGCCGCAGCTCGCCTTCTTTATTTGCGTCATTACTATTAAGCAACATATGCAAATGTTATAAACCTAAGACTAGGTGGCAACATTGCCTATTATCTTAACATTATTTGAAATTATTAGGGCAGAGTGGTAACCTTGCCTGTTAACTTTACAGAATTATGTCTAGAGACGATATGGCAACATTTTTGTTTACAAAGCAATGATTAGGCAAAATATGATTAATTTATATTAATTTAACGAGGAGTGGTTTCCGATGATGCGTGGGTGATAAGTTTTTGATGATCTGGAGTTTCAAGTCCGGGCTGGCGGTGTGAATGTGTTCGAGATGGCTGGAGAGTGAATTGTTACATGTATGGTTGTGTCTTATGGACGATGTGGCAACATTAGTGTTTACAAACAATGAGTTTAAAGTAGAATGAAAATTTGATTGTGATGAATTAATGATGTGATGACTGGGTTGTCATCTTGAGATCCCAGAGTCCGTGTGGTATCTGCGTTGATGTTTAGTTGCAATGTACGCGAAGCAGTTGGCATATGGCAGAACTTCAACCGAAGAGGCACGATCACCAGAAAGTGCACTGGCAGACTTTGGAGGCAGGGATGCTAGCTACAATGGATTGTGATTACATGTGCGCTCAGCACTGTCAGGACAATCCGGCAGTAAGATACGCGCCAGTCCATTCTCAGCTCTAATATGCACATGGGTTGCTGTTGCAAAAAAGTAGTTGCTGTGTTGAAGTTAGTGGGCTCAGTTTTCCGAGTTGTTGTTGATGTGTTGACTTGTTGTGCGTGTGTGCTGATTAGAGCATGTTGTTGTTGCAAAAATAAAATAGAAACTTGATCGTAGTAAATTAATGACGTATTAACTGGGTTGTTATCTGGAGATTCCGGGGTCCGAGTTTACTGCGTTGTTCTGCGTGTGGTATCTGCGTTGGTGTTAAGTTGTAGCGTGTGCAGTGCAATTGGCATAAGGCAGGGCTTCATCCGGCGAGGCACGATCTCCAGCAAGTGCACTGGCAGGCTATGGAGGCAGGGATGCAGGCACACAATGAGTTGTGGATGCATATGCGCTCAGCACTGCCAAGACAAGCCTGCAATTAGATGCGTGCCACTCCACTATCAGCTCTAATATGCGCATGGGTTGCTGTTGCGGGTATAGTAGTTGCTGTGTTGAAATTAGTTGGCTCAGGTGACCTAGGAGTTGTTGATGTGCTCGATGCCATTGGCATAAGGCAGAGCTTCATCCGGCAGGGCACGATCTCCATGATGCGCACTGGCAGGCCATGGAGGCAGGGATGCTGGAACAGAATGGATTGCGGTTGCATATGCGCTCTGCGCCGCCAGGGCAGTCCGTCAATAAGGTACGCACCACTCCACTCTCAGCTCTTATATGCGCGTAGGTGCGGGTATAGTATTTGCTGAGTTGAAGTTAGTTGGCTCAGGAGTCCGAGGTGTTGTAGATGTGATAACTTATTGTGCGTGGGTGCTGGTTAAAGCGTGTTGTAGATGCGAGGGAGATGCTATGCAAACAAAGAGCCGCCGGCCAGCAAGAAACACACTCAAGGCGATCGCGTAGGTTGGCTGTGTGGCAGGGATTCATTCCACAAGCAAATACAGGCACTCCCACACGCGCTCACAGGTATGCGTTCCACGCAGGTAGGCTATGGTGTAGCTGCATTGATTCCATAGGCTCGTGAGTAGCTGAGGTGTTTTGTGTAATGGCATGTGTGGCGGGTGTTATGGGCGTGTAGGATGAGTTCATTGGTTTCGTTGCATTTGCAGGCGGGTTTGTGCATACCATTGAGTGCACAGGTGATGACTAATCAATAGCCGTACGTCTCAGTTGAGTCTAAGTAGCTTGTTGCAGGGATGTAGGTCCCTGTAAAAGAGAGTAATTAATAGTTTTATATTCGGGCGTGGATTTTACCGTGAGTTGCAATGGCATTGCGCCTTAATATTGTCAATCTAAACCACTGAGCTAAGGCTGGCCATTATGTTGTTCAGGGCAATGAAGAACGCCATGTTTGTTCGTTCTTTATAAATGTCTGCTTCAGTGACGTCATTCTTGTTTCTTGCATGTATTCTTACAAACTTATTGTTTTATTTGACTGAAGAGGTTAGATTTGTTGCTGTGAGACATCACTTTTGGCGGGAGCGAGTGGCATCTTTTTGTTGTTGTAGTATTTGCTGAGGCATAATGACTTAGTTGAGAGATTTTATAATGGGTGGCACGAGCACCCATGATTAAGTTTTCGAGGTTGTTTAGAGCAATAGGCAATTCAATTTCTAGGTCTTCAATATCCGGCCAGTGTGCTGTTCAGTGCGATGCGAATGCGCCATGTTTGTTGGTTATGTAAAATGTCTGCTGTAGTGACGTCATACTAGTTTCTTGCATGTCATTGCATTTGGCTGGAGTGGTTAGAGTTGTTGCTTCGAGACATCACTTTTGGCGGGAGCGAGTGGCGTGTTTTTGTTGTTGTAGTTTTTGCTGAGGCTTAATTGCATTTTTGAGGGGTTATGTAATGGGTGTCGCGAGCACCCCCAAGATCGAATTTTCCAATTTGTTTAGAGTAGTGGACAATTTAGTATATAGTAGGGACGATTAACGAGTTTGTAGATCAGTTCGGTTTTTATTTTGTTGTCGAGGGCTTTGTCAGTCCATTTAGTTGCTGGGTCGGCCATCTTGAATATTCCGACATCTTGGCGTGTGGATTATTGTAAAATTTAAAACGAGGTTTCATCAGCAATAGAAGAATCACCAAATGATCGTACATAGGACAGTACAATTTATTAACGTTTTAGTAACATATACGCTGTTACACAGGTACTTGGGAATACCAGTGCACAGTACATTGTTCTGGCGGTATGAAAAGATTGACACGCGCGTCAGGTTCACATATATTTTGCACGCTGCAAAACGACATAGAACATATACACACGATGACTTTTTATTTTTTAAGTTGTTTTTTTTTAAGTTGTTTTAAGTTTTTTTTTTTATGTTGTTTTTTTTTAAGTTGTTTTAAAGTTTTTTTAAGTTGTTTTTTTAAGTTTTTTTTAAAGTTTGTGCACATCTGTACACTATGGGGGTTTGCTAGCGTCTAATGTTAGCCGCAGCTCGCCTTCTTTATTTGCTTCATTACTATTTGAGCAACATATGCAAATGTTATAGACTTAAGACTAGGTGGCAACATTGCCTATTATCTTAATGTTATTTGATTAATAGGGCAGGGTGGCAACCTTGCCTGTTAACAGAGTTATTTCATAAGAATATGGCAACTTTCTTCTTTTGTTTACAAAACAATGAATGGGAAAATATGATGATATAAATGATATAAAATATGATGATATGAATTAATGAAGAGTGGTTTCCAATGGTGATAACTTTGATGATTTGGAGTTTCAAGTCCGGGCTGGGGGGTGTGATTGTGTTAAAGATGGCTGATGAGTACATATGTGGATGATAGACGAAGTTGTGGTGGCAAGTAACCAGGTTGGCAGTAGAGTTATGCAGTGTTAATTGATGTGTGAAGTGTGTGCTGATTAAAGCGTGTTGAAGATGAGGTGTATATATAGGAGATAGCTGAGTTGTAGTATGACATAAAATCCATGGATCCAGAAGTGTTAGCGAGTGATAGCTTGATGAGGATGTACTTGCTGCAACAGGCATAGAGCAACACATTAATGCGGCAGTACATTTTAGCCAGAAGGTGCACTGACTAGCTGTGTAGGCAGGGATGCTGGCACACAATAAATTGTGGTTGCATATGCCTGAGCACAGTCAGGACAATCTAGCCCAAATGCAAGCCACTCAATCCAGTTGTAGGAGATGCATGAGATGCATCTGTGTAGATAGCGGTGTCTGAGTTGGTAATGAAGTTGGTGTAGTAGCTGTTATGTGTGTGTGTTGCTTGCGACGTATTGATGTTGCGAAAAACACACTACAGCCTGCGAGATGCGTGTGTGAGTGATGATTGAGTTGTAGTCGGCAAGTCCAAGAACAGTGAAGCAGTTGGTGTTAACAGAAGGTGATGTCTATGTCCTATTATGCGTTTTTCAGCTGGCTATTGGGCAGAGATTACAAACAGCAACGCGCGCCCACAAGAAGGTACCCGGAGGGCTGTATGGACAGAGATGCTGGTACCCAATAGATTGGGGTAGCATATGACCCAGCACAGCCAGGACAATCCAGTTCGCGCGCGCGCCTATTCACTCAAACCCTAGTTGATCACGAAGTGCTGCTGCGGCCAGAGAAGTTGATGTCTAGCCGTTTGTGGGAAGGAGAAGTGTCCAACGATGGCAAGTACTGTGCATGTGTGCTGAATTAGGTATGTTGCTGCGAAGAACGGGGCACAGCTGGTGATGCGCCGCAAAGCAGTAGCGAACACAACCATCGGGCACGCGCACAGGTAGGCTGTTTATAAAGGTTGTTGTTCCGCAGTCAAGTGCGGCAGGAGGTGTGGTGAGCTCTTACATGGTCATCCGCAGGTATGTATTTCTACCAGGTAAGGCTGTGTTTGCAAGCGAGATTGTGCCCATGCATGGACGCATGTTACAGTTGAGTGTGATGTAAGTATTGGCCATACATGAATTTATCTATAGATGTTAATCCTCTTTGGTCAACACAGTGTGCTTATTTGGCTGTTGTTAAGAGCCGGCAAATTTGCGTATTACAGGTAGGTTGGTCCCTGTAATATAGAGCAATTAATAATTTGTTTACGGACGCAGATTCTTACCGCTGTCGTCGTGCTGGATATTGTATAAGAAATTAAGTTGCTTAAACCAAGATTGCTGGACCAAGATTATTGCAACTAGCCATTTGATGTTTATAGCGGTGCTGAGGACGTCTGCATGATGTAGGTATAATGGAATTTGAAAGTGTTGGTTGCGTGTGCTTGAGTGTAGCATGAATTGTGTTGGGTGTGAAGCTGCTTTGCTCAAGCTGGGCTCTTCCATGGTCGTCCACAAGTATGTGTTCCTGGCAGATAGGGCTGAGTTTGCAAGTGAGTTTGTGCCTATCATTGTGGAACAGGTAATGGACGCGTATTTCAGTTGAGTGTGATGTGAGAATTGGCCATGAATGAAGTTGTATATTGATGTTAATCCTCTTTAGTCAGCACAGTGTACTTGTTTGATTGCTGTTTTGAGCCAGCAAGATTTGCATATTACAGGTGTGTTGGTTCCTGTAATATAGAGCAATTAATAATTTGTTTGCGGGCGTAGATTCTTACCGCTGTTTGCAGTTTCATTGTACTGGATATTGTATGCAAGAAAAGGTTGCTGATCCGTGGTTACTAGGCCAGGATTACTGCAGCTGGCCATTTAATGCTTAGAGCGGTGGCTGTGACGTGTAGCATGAATTGTGTTGGGTGTGGAACTGATATGCTAAGACAAGAATCGGTGCCCATGTAATCGCCTTATGAAGTGAGTGTGTATTATGCGGGTGCGTGGGGCATAATTATTGTTTAGAGTTGGATTTGTGTAATGGATAATACATAGGTGGCGAGTTTATTTAAATTAAGTTATCATAGTACTTTTAAAGAAATTGTTTAAAATAAACTGGAGTAATAAAGATATAATATGATGTCTGTTGTTATTATTTTAATGATGTAGCTTATGATTAAAGTTAGTGTATTCGAGATAAATCATTTGTTTGGTAGTTCAAAATAAAATATTAATAACAAATCGTATGGCTTTTATTTGAATACAAAATGTAAATTGTTGAGCAAAATTAAAATGAGGTATTTCTATTCAAGATGTGAATCAAGTTAGTGTATTCAAGGTAACAAGATGTTTTTTTTTTTTTTTTTCTATATTCGAGTGAAATTATTTTATAATTTCAAGTTAATCACTGTTTTAAGTATTACATTTAGAAGAAATTAAAATAAGATATTCATTAAAGATCGTTATGTCATTCGTTTCGATACAATATGTATTGTAATAATTGAAGTAACAGAATGTTCGATGTGAGTTGTTGAATAGCGTTATGAGTCAATGTAAAGTTGTCTTTTAAGATATTATTTTGTATGTATTTTTTTTTATACATATATATGTAAGTATAACTAGCAGGTCGCGTAACTTTCATTTGAGTACAAAGTGTGATTTGTTGACAAAATTAAAATGAGATATTTAAGTTCAAAAGTATGATTCACGTTAATGATTACGAAATAGTTCGTTTTTCATATTCGAGTGAAGTTAATTTGATAAATTTCAGGTAAACACTGTTTTGAGTATTACAGTTTAAAAGAAATTAAAATAGAATATTCGTTAAAGATCGTTATGGCATACATTTCGATACAAAATGTGTTGTAATAATGGAATTAACAGAACGTTTGAATAGTGTCATAGATTAATATAAAGTTGTCTTTTCAGATATTTGTGTATATAATATTTTTAATTCTTTTTTTTTTTTTTTTTTTTTTTTTTTTTTGTATATATATATTATTTTAAATAATTTTATTTATGTTTTTTTTTTTTTTTTTTTTTTTTTTTTTTTTTTTTTTTTTTTATATTTATATTATATAAATATATTTATATATTATTATTATTATTTTTTATTTTTTTTTTATTATTATTATTATTATTTTTTTTTTTTTTTTTTTTTTTTTTTTTTTAATTAGTTTGGTTTGGGAGTTGGGATACAAAGGGAGTACAGTGCATTTAGTAGATTGTCAATCTTGCTGCTCATTTCGTTTGCAGTCCGTACGTTGCTCTCCAGTGCTCGTATGAGAGGCTGGTCTCCCATGTGCTGTTGCTGCTGATTTTGGTGGCGTTGAAGTTCCTCGTTTTGTTGTTTTTGGTGCTGCTCGGCCAATAATTTGTTTTTAAAGTTGTTTAGATGCCTTTCAGCAGGATTGCGAAGCATTGTGGGTTTAACCTTGGCAGTGTCAGCTAAGTTGATATTTAGTTGTGTTGGGTGGATGTTGTGTTGTGCTGTATACTGTGGTTTAGTTGTTTTGTTGATGGTATATTGTTGCAGCGGCTGGATTTGTGGCTGTGGCGTTTGTTGATTTACTTTAAAATTAGGTGGTAAATTAGGGTAAATTAGGTGAATCTAGTGGTACT